GGGAGATAACTCGCAATTGCGTGGGCAAATAAGATTTGTTCTAGGTAGGCTAGGGGAAATCACATATGCCCCTGTGGGCCAATAAGCACTCCGTATTATTATACCCCCCTCTCTCTCTCTCTCCCTCTCCCTCTGTCTCTCTCTCTCTCTCTCTCTCTCTCTCTCTCTCTCTCTATTTGCCCGTGAACAAAATGGCACGTTATCAACTCAACAGCGCTGGAAAGTTTGTTTTCCCTCGTATGAGACGGTATCACGGACCGTTAAGCGCTAACAGATAGAGCTTAGTAGTAGCCTATAGCCCCAACTACAACCAAGTACATGTATCAAGAGTTCAGTTGAGAAGAAAAAGCAGCGATCACCAACCTCTTCAGGTTTCAAGAGTCTCTACTCGTGCGAAGAGAATCTATGAAGTTATCACAAGACGTAAGCTACCAGACCCTAATACATAAACTAACACAGCATTCAAATCGGACACAAGGCTAAAAAAAAACCACGCTTTGGCACACACAATACAACATGGCATGGCATGCCATTATTCATTGTCTTTAATGGATCACAATCTTCTCCTTGATTCGAATAAACACTAGCACAGTAGATCTATAGTATCCTGGAAACAGAATTCATGCAATAGAACACAATAATAATCAACTTACATTCAAATCGGAGGCAAGCCTAACGAAACACGCTGTGAATAAAAATGCTTGTAAGCACGCACACAGCACAACACGGCAAGCCATTGCCCATTCTTCAGTACACCTTGTGACTGACTTGTGATTCAAATTTGCCCCCGGCCATCTCGATAAGCCAGATTATCGAGCCTTTGTTTACATTCGATGCCCCACGGTGTACCGAATGAGCCAGTGGTGCACTCCATCCATTGCGACACACGGACTACGGTAAACAAAATGGTGCGTGAACAAGATGACACACAATCCATAAGTCATGCACCATGCGCTTTCATAGTGACCTATTTTTAGTGTACCTTGCAGGGCCACAAAGTTCGACAAAGTCGAAACCAAAACAAACTGTGTAACTGCGTTAACTTGGCAAACGGGTAATAACCTTCACTTGTTAGTTCAGCCAACTCTGCGTACTCTTTTTGTCATGGAAAACGGTGTGTGTGTTGGTTAGGGGAAACGCGGTGGGGGCGTAATTTCTGAAATACGAAAGGGATGTGAAAAGAATCGGTAGGCCTAATGAGATGTAGACGAAAACAGAACAGTAGTCTGGTGTGACTTGAAGAGAACCCCCCCCCCCCTTGATCCTTCCCTCCCTCCTTTTTTTCCACCCACCAAGGCACACTAACTCGTCCTCCCTCACCCTCCTTCTCTCTTGACACATTTTGAGACTTTTATACACAGATGAAAAGATTCAGGGATCCACTATTTTTAAGGCTGCAAGGACATGGCTGAGTCTATACTCACACATTTTTTTGCTATACGCAAGCAATTGCGTGCTGGGTATCATAGTTTACCCACGACATTGTGTGTACAGTGTACAGTCAAACCTGTGTAAAACGGCCACCCATTGTCAAGGAGAAAAGAGGCCGTTTAGCACAGGTGTCCGTCTTAGACAGAACTGGTCCGAATGAAGAAAGGAAATCAGTCTCTTCTGAAGTCCCGGGGCTGATGTCAGACTTTAGACTGCCGTAAGGCTTACTCAAAAGGGTTCTTGTTTTCTTTTGAAAAAAAAAGGGGGGAGTGGTGGTGTTATACCAGTTTGTTTGTGTTGTTTTGAGGTTGTTGTTTGTTTGTTTGTTTGTTTGTTTGGGCTTCTTCTTTTTTTGGTAAGCTTTCTTTTTGTTCTTGATTTTGTACAAGGGTAAAATAAACGTAGGTCCTAATGTGAAAGTAAGACGATAAAGACGGAGTGCCATATGGTAAAACAAACACACTGGTCGTCACCACTCGGAGAACGAGCGATGCTTCTGTTGCAAGTTCACGTTAACGTCCACTGTTACTTTGTTACAGATTAGGTAAAGAAAACAGTGACCAGTCACCTCATACACAATTTATGCATGAGTAGTGTGGCGTCGGTGGCCTAGTGGTTAGGCTCTCGGACTCGCAACCGTAAGGTCGTGGGTTCGAATCCCGTCAGGGGCCCGAGGTTGTGTTCTTGGGAAAGGCACTTTACACGAATTTTCCTCACTTCACCCAGGTGTGAATGGGTACCCAGCTCTAGACAGCGAAAGATCTTGTCAGTTTGTTAGTGTTTGAGCGCTTAATCAGCTGCTTGCACTGTATGCTTCCCAGGAAGCTGAGAATGTTTCGGAGTGTTGTATGGTCTGCTGGGGTAATAATATAGTGTAAAGCGCATAGAGCCTGCTGTTGAACGGGGGTGTGCGCTATACAAATGCTATCTATTATCTATTATTATTAGTGGGCTGGGCTTATAAGTTATGACGGATCACGCTTTCCCAACTAGCTGCTGAAAATTTATTGTTAGGCCTACCCATTGGTCAATTTTTGTAAACATTCATAAAGGAGGGAATAACAAAAACGACAGGTGAACGAATTATGACGGCCCGTCCACAGCAGGAGGGGCCGATTCAAAATTTATGACAAAGCATCGGGCATTGCAAGACCGTGCCTGGTGTCCTGAGCCAGGTTAATTTGACAGTGGGTTGAAAAAATAAGGTGCCCCACCCCCCGCCCCTTCAAAACCCTTTATCTTTTTTCCATTCCATTTTTTTTGGTATATGTTAATTTGTGTTTTTATTTAAACAATTTCAGCAATTCTCGTTCGATAAATTTAGCCTGTGCCAGCACCATTCTGTACCTCCTCTTTTCTTCCCCAAACAAAGTTGCACACATACATACACACACACACACACACACACACACACACACACACACACACACACACACACACACACACACACACATACACTCACACAAACTCACACACACACACACACACACACACACACGCACAAACACACACGCACAGACACAAACTCACACACACACACACGTACACACACGCACACACACACACACACACCCAAAGCAGTCGACGACGAAACCAACCTCGCGATCCCCTAGTCACATAGCCCATCGTGCGCTAAACGGCAAAGCCGCGCGGACTAAAGCCCAAAGAGCAATAAGTGTAATATCTTGAAACGAACTGTGGAGGATTGTCAGATCATTAAACGAAGAAAACCTAAACAGGGATGCACCAGTAATACTTGACAAAGATGGCAAGTCCAAAGTAGATAAACAAGCAGCAAACCTACTCATTCAGCAGTACAAGGAAGTGTGCAAGTTAGAAATATCCCCAGACAAAATAGAAGAAGTGCAGAGAAAATAAATACATGCTTCTGAATCCCCACAAGAACCTAAAGATGATGTTATGACCAAACCACTCTTAATGACAGAACTGGATAGAGCCCTTCTCCAGCTCAAACTAAGACAAGCACCAGGCCCAGATAAAATAAGCAATGACATGCTTACGCATATAAGATACACTGCTAAGAAGAAAATCCTCCAAATATACAACAGAAGCTGGAAGGACGGGAAAATTCCAAAAGCTTGGAAAACTGCTATACGGATACCTCTCCTCAAAGACGGAAAATCCAAGAACAGTGCAGAAAGCTACAGCCCAATCATCCTCATCAGCTGTCTGTGCAAGCTTCTAGAGAGAATCCTCAACTACAGACTCTGTTGGTTCCGAAAGAAAAACCATCTTCTATCAGATAACCAAGCTGGGTTTAGGAAACATCTATCAACCGAAGACCAAATTACATACATTGCTCAGATGGTAGAGGATGGCTTCCAAAGGAAAGAACACACTGTAGCGCTGTCTGGATCAACCTGGAGAAGGCGTTTGATAAAGTCTGGACAGAAGCACCCATACTGAAATTACAAAATCTGAACATCTCTCACAACATCTTGAAAAGGATCTCACAGTACCTATCTCAAAGAAGAGCCTGTGTGAGACTGAAAGGAAAAAGAAGCAAAATGGAGACAATCAGGAATGGAGTCCCATAAGGGGGAGTTTTATCAGCGACCCTGTTCCTGATTTTCCTCAACGACATTTCAACCTCCATCACCAAGAAAGTGACAGTAGCGGAGTACGCAGATGACATCGCTCTTTTATGCTCGGCAGAATCAGTAGGAACAGCTCAGGTACGACTCCAAAGCACACTCAACAACATGATGAAGTGGACAGAAAAATGGGGACAGAAGATCAACAAGAGCAAGACCAGGTACACAACATTCAGCCTCTGACCAAAACCCCGAAAGGTAAACTTGCATCTTGATGGAAACACTACAACACGAGTCAAATCCCACCTATTTGGGTGTGACGTTTGATCCGAGACTAACGTGGCAAGCCCAAACAAAGAGGTGCTCAAGTAAAGGCAGCAGAAGAACAGCACTGCTTAGAAATTTGGCAGGGTCAGATTGGGGAGCAAACCACACCGTCTTACGTGGAGCCTATATTGGATAAGTCCGCCCAGTTCTGGAATATGGTATCGCAGCGTGGGGAACAGCATCAGACAGCAACTTCCACAAAGTAGCGAGAATCCAGATTCAAAATCTGCGGATCATTACGGGAGCATTGCGATCTACG